GTCATTTGTCTGCACCTCCTGGGTCATGATTTCCATCATCTTCTTCCAGATTTGGCGGACCTGCTGATGCTGGGCATAAGAGGTCTTCCGTATCTGATTGTTGCGTTTTTTTAGCAAGCCCAACACAGAAGAGACGAAGCAAATAACCATCGGTAGTCTTGACATCAACATGAGCTTCAATCATGGTCTGCCATTTTTTGACCAGGGAACACATTTTGTCACGGGTGAGATCCATGCCATGGAAGTTAGTCAGGCAGTTTTTGCCCTGAATATCCTCAGTAATTAGCTTGAATTACCTAAGTGCGACTTCGTCATTCTGCAGATCTGCAAGGCTCACTTCAAACACATGGCCCTTAAGGCCGTCGGACGCGATTTTGGTTCCTTGAGTCCTGGTAACCAGTGTCTTCCCAATATTTCTTATGTTGAACATTGCAGGTGCTTTCACGTCATACCAATCTTTTTTAGAAAATGGATCAACCACTTTCTTCTTGGCTCCCTTTTTTCCGCCTTTCTTAAGGCACTTATTCTTGCCAACTGCCATGGTGCTACTCAGGGAGCCAAAAGGCCATGTGATATTTCTTACGGAGCAGTTATCAGTCACACTCTCTTGAAATGTTTTCCTTCACTTGTCATTAGAGCTGTACAAGGGCCATGTACTAAGCTTCAGATAGAGTAACTAGTAAAGGTACTGCTTAGAAAATATGGATTAAACAGCTAAATCATGAGTAAAGGTTCAAGAAAAACAATGATAACTCCTATATGGTGGTGATTTTAATCTTTTTTGTGGGTTCTGTTGAAAGGTATAGACCTTTTCTTTGAAAATTTAGATGGTCAGACCTGTTTATGCATCCCTGAAGCTAGTCCACTAATTCTTGGACCAAGATCCCTCCTTAGGAAATTATACCCAGGGAACCTATAATGATGACATCATCATGAATAACTACTATCTTTTAAGATAGTCTTTAAATAGATTATGAGGTGTCTCTTATATATATACATATATGTGTGTGTGTGTATACATATATATGTGTGTATACATATATTTATGTGTGTGTATATGTATATATATGTGTGTGTGTGTGTATGTGTGTGTGTGTGTGTGGTGTTTTGAGACAGTCTTGCTATGTCACTATCCTGCCTCAGTCTCTTGAGTTACTAGGACTAGAGGTGTGCACCAACACACCTGGCTCTTACACACAGGGTCTTGCTATGTTGTCCACGCTGGCTATGAACTTTTGTACAGCATAAACTGTGACTGTTCTTTTTTTTAAATTTTATTTATTCATTTATTTATTTTTAACTTGACCAGAGAGAGAGAGAGAAAGTGAGAAAACAAGCCACCAGGTCCAGGACTTGAACCATGGTTGACCATGTGGGAGTGTCCAGCACCCTAACCACCATGCCACCTGCTGGTCCCAAACTGTGATTATTCTTATCAGGGAAAATATTCCAAAGGCCCAGAGCTCATGTACCAGGAACCAGCCAAGGCCAGCCCTGAAAATAGGCCTTTCTTGGGAATGTATAGGGATTGAGCAAATCTGACCCACTGAGCCCTTTTCTGTACAGCATGCTAGCTGTTCAGGAACTTAGTTTTCCTCTGGCCTGGTGGTCTGCCCAGTTATTCCTTTTGTAGATATAGTGGACTTCCCTGGTCTCATCACAGATGGCTGTGCCATGTATCTGGACTCTTCCTTTCCCCTTGCCAATGAAAACTTGTGTTGGGAACCAGCAGTTAGCGTAGTGGCTATGTCGCTGAATTCCCATGTAGCTGACCGTGATTTGAGTCCCAGACCCGGTGGTTTAAACTCACGCCAGGCGCACGCGTGTGTGTGCCCAAGATCCTGAGAGGAGAATGGAGGAGAAGGGATTGTGGCATGGCCATCCCCCCTGGGGGGTGATTTCTCGCTTTCTGTCTCTCTGTCTCTTCCTGTCTTTGTGGCGAGCGCACACGCCCTATAGCAAAAACCTCTGAAAAAAAAACCAAAACAAAACAAAACAAAAAACTTGCAAGTGTGACCGGACTTAGGTACATGGCTGTGCTTTGCAGCTTCGTGAGATCACGGTGAGATGTAAATGCCCATTCTATCCATTCATTCAAAAGCATTTTTCAAATACTGCCATGTATCAGGAGTAGTGGTAGATGGCAGGTTTACAGAAGGGATTGATAAAACTCTCTGGCCTCAAGGAGCTTACATTTTCATAGGGAAGAGAAAACAAAAATAGCAATTCTGATAAGCATTGTGTGCATTGGGGAGCACTTAACCTCACTGGAGAACGTAGTCAAGGACATATGTATCTGTGTATATGGGAAGATGTTGGTGATAATTAAGAGACTTCTCTGACAAGGTCACTCCTAGAGTTGAGCTGTAAAGATCAAGACATGGTGTTTGTCCTGTCGTTTTTGTAGCTAGATTACCTGCACGGTTGCAGCTCGTTTGTTTTGTTACTGACGTAGTCTGCTTGGCTTTACTGGGGAAGTACCTCAGTCGTAGAAGGCATGTTCTTTTTTGGGGTTTACACCAATGAGAATAGATGTTGTCTGACTCTATACAAATTTGTTTTCATTATTTCCTTATCACAAATCACTCAAATAACATTTCCAACCTACAGTAAGTGGTGGTAGTGTTTTCACACATTGCCTCCAATGAGGGAGTCTGTGAATACATGCATAGTTTGGGGGTGTTGAGAAAAAGTATAAACATTTAAAAATTAAATGCAACTTGTTTCAAGTTGAAGGACAAATTGTTGCCTTTGCCTCAATAAAACTGCATGTTAATTTTTTTTTTCTTCTAGAAGCAATACATTTTTAAGGGGCCAGTTCATGACATATCAGCTAAGGTGTCTGGATCCCACGTGGCTGATTGTATGATACAAATTTCAATCTGGCAACTTGAAAAACCTACTGGGCACTTGTGCATGTATGCCCAAAATCCCAAGAGGAAAATGGAGAGAAGGGATTGCAACACGGCCATCCTCACGGCCATCTCACTTTCCTCTTCTCTCTCTGATGAGTGCACATGCCCTATGACAAATTAGAAAAAATTGTTTCAAGAAAAAAAATCTATGTCCTGATTTTACTAGACAAGTCCCCCTTTATTGATAACAGGACAAGTTCCAAGATACCCAGTGGATCTGAAACTACACTTAGTACTGAACCCTATAAATACACATATATACACTGTGTTTTTCCTGTATGTGCATACCTATGATAAAGTTTAATTTATAAATTAGGCATATTAAGAGATTAACAACATAACTAATTATAAAATGGAATAATTATAACAATATACCATAATAAAAGTTATGTGTCTGTGGTTTCTTTCTCAGTTGTCTTACTGTATGTACCTATTTTGGGACTGTGGTTGACCATAGGTAACTGAAACCAGAGATTAGAGGGATTACTATTAGGTTCCCAGAAAAGTCACGATGCGTTTTTCTATGCAAAAATGCATCATGACTTTCCCAACTTTCTGTGTATTTCCTTGGGCTTCAGCGTATGTATAATTTTCAACAAATTTTGGAACCTGTAAGAGCAATGACAAGTTTTGTTTTTTGAACAATGCATAGAAATCATATGGTTATAGGGACCGGCAGTTAGCGTAATGGCTATGTCGCTGGACTCCCACATAGTCGGCCGCGGTTCGAGTCCTGGACCCAGTGGCTTAAACTCACGCAGGGCGCGTGTGTGTGCGTGCCCAGGATCCCGAGAGGAGAATGGAGGAGAAGGGATTGCGGCGTGGCCATCCCCCCTGTGGGGGGTGATTTCTCGCTTTCTATCTCTCTGTCTCTCTCTGTCTGTCTGGTGAGCACATGCGCCCTATAACAGAAACCTCTCCAAAAAAAGAAAAAAAAAAAGAAATCATATGGTTATTATAGGATCAAGAATGTGTAACAGCCACTCCTCCTTCATGACCAACCTGTTTAATGACTGCTCTGACTTGGAACCAGTTCTCCAGGATGGGGAAACCCCCGACTCAGTCTGTGTGCGTCTCATGCATCCTTTCTCAGTCTTTGTCTTGTTTCTGAGGTTGGTTAGTATTCCCTAAATGAAGTGTTTCCAAACATTTGTATGTAAAACTACATATTCTGTTTATAAATTTGTAGTTTATTATGCACCATAGTAGTATTCAGAATAAATAAAAATAGTGGCACCAGGTTTATATTATTGTGTTGTGCGTCTTGTTGCTTTCTGACACTTATCTAATGTATGCTTTTTATGTGGATAGGATTACATTATTTTAGTGCGGCATTATGGAATATCTATTGAAAAATACATACCTTGTGCCACAACACACTGTAGACATCTGCCTTTAAGTTACTTACTTATCAACCAATTCACTTAATGACCCAGTCTTAGGAACAGAGCTCACTCATTGAGGACTTGCTGGTATTAGAGTGAATATTGGATGATCTCAAACTGTTAGCCTTGAGGTTTTTTTTTTCTCTAATGGAATCTTGTTCTTTTTTCAGCATTGCAGTGTTTCTGCCACCTCTGTACAAAAGACAATTTTACTTGTGTGACAGATGGACTCTGTTTTGTCTCTGTTACTGAGACCACAGACAAAGTTATACACAATAGCATGTGTATAGCTGAAATCGACCTAATTCCTCGAGACAGGCCATTTCTGTGTGCACCCTCTTCAAGAACTGGGTCTGTTACCACAACGTATTGCTGTGATAAGGACCATTGCAATAAAATAGACCTCCCAACTACTGGTAAGTTGTATAGATTTTTCTTTCTAGATACAAGAAAAGCTTTTAGGTGCTGACTAAAAATTTAAAACTAGAAGGGATCGTAGAAATCCTCTAGCCCAACTTGTTTGGTTTGGAGATTGGGAGTAACTTGTCCATAGCTGGAGAGTGATATGAATGGGCAAGATCCTGTCTCCTGGGTGTGTGTTATTTGAGAAAGGATAGACTTTCTCTGAGGTCTGTTATGTTTAAAAGAGTAGCCTCTTAAAAAGGAATTCTGACCAAGTCCCAGTAACAGTGGGTTTTCAGAGTGGACAGTTTTGTCCTTCCTCCTTGTACAGTGTTCCTTCCTTTTAAAGCGATCCAAAGCCTTTTTAATGGGAAAGAATTGAGAGCAGTGCTAAACAGTCAGTTTTCATTTTTAATATCTCTACGTAAATTAATTATATATGATTTCTAGATCGTTTGGTCCTTCACCAAAAAGTTTATATTTTAAAATGTCTTGGCAGAGCCAGCAATTGGAAACTTTCAAAAACTCTTAGAAAATTTTTTTTTAAAGATTTCACTATGTCTTGATCCTCCTGCCTCAGCCTCCCAAGTAGTTTGGACTGTAGGTATCCACCACTACTCCTGGCTTTAGGGTAGGCAGTGAATTGAACCTAGGCCTCCCATGTGGCCTGAGCCTGCCAAGTAGCACTGTCCTGTGCCCCTCCACTCCTGTGTGTGCCTGGGCCAGGAGTGGATTAATTTTTTTTTTTTTTTTGGAGAGATTTTCACTGTAGGGTGCGTGCGCTCGCCAGACAGACAGAGAGAGACATAGAGACAGAAAGCGAGAAATCACCCCCCAGGGGGGATGGTCATGCCGCAATCCCTTCTCCTCCATTCTCCTCTCAGGATCTTGGGCACGCACGCACACGCGCCCAGCGTGAGTTTTAAGCCACCGGGTCCGGGACACGAACCGCGGTCGACTACGTGGGAGTCCAGCGACATAGCCATTACGCTAACTGCTGGTTCCCAGGAGTGGATTAATTTTAAGGTTCTATTTTAAGATGGATGTCTGAACACATGTTAAATATATGTGCTCATGTAATGACCCTCCACCTAGTTACTACAGTCCTCAAATCCTACTGTAATAATCAAAGGAGTATAAAAATCAGGGAACCTATATTAATGCTAGAGGAATTAATGGAAGAATGCCACCCACATCTCAACACTTACAAGGAACTTCGAGTTTATAGCACAGATGATACCAAAATAGTCAGTCGGCTAAACCGTACAAGAAAGAAGTGAAAGGACCCCTTGCAGAATCTCACCTATACCTGAGACTGAAGGGCTAGTGGTGAGGTTCAGTTACAGGAACGAACTTCATTTCTCCTTCAGGAAGCATCTGGTTGCAGTATACAGAGGGGGGGATCTTATACTCACTTTCTGCTCAGAGTAGGTCCAGGCCTCATGCTGTGGAAGCACTGCTGTAGCTCAGAGGAAGAAGGTGGTCCTACTGGTTACAGTAGGGAGGCAGCCCTCCACTACAGCATGATAGCAGGGCCCCCCACCCCACCCTGCTCCATGGTAAGGTTCTGTCAGAATATAATTTCTTTGTGACTTTTATGTAGACATCTACAGTTTTATATGGCAAAAAAATATAATTCTGTAATTTCCCATTTCTATGATTTAAGCTTAAAATAGCTGAACAGATTATGACTTCTTCATTTCTGATTTTAAACGAACGTAGGACTCATTTCCAGATGATAAGCAAACAGCAAAAAAAAATTATCAAATGAAAAGAATCAATGGTTCATAAGAAGTGGACTGAACTGGATAAGTTAGAGCAGACATCATCCTATGAAATAGGCTTACCACTCGCCAGGGAAGACCTTTCAGATAGTCCAAGGTCTGTTTTCAGTTGTTTGTTAGGAAATGAGAACATTTCATAGTGGTTAAGGTTGCTTTCTAATGAAAATCTTACTTGATACATAGTTTTTAAAATGTAGTATTGAAAATGAAATGGCAGACTGGGTGTTGTAAATCTGAAGCTTGAGAAATGGTGTTACAGTTCAGGGAAGAAGATGGTTGGTGAGCAAATTAAGGGAGACAGAGGACAGATCTGGGTGATCCAAAATGCTTATTATTAGAATCCCAGAAAAAGACATGAGAGCAAACAGAAGAGAGAAGAAAATTAGGTAAAATTAATTAAATAAAACATACCCAAAGACATGTAGTAAAAATAGTGATTTTATGAAAAAAAAAAAAAAAGATTGTCTAAGTATTTAATGCACGTAAAGACCTATTACTTGTAAAAGGGGAAAAAAAAAGCAAGATTTTCTGCTCTTTTAAGAATCAAAGGACAGGCTGGACCCTGGTGACTTGTTTTCTCACATTCTCCTTCTCTCTAACTCTGGCCAAATTAAAAGGAATAAATAAAGTTAAATAAAATAATTCTTTAAAAAAAGGATCAAAGGGGACCAGCAGTTAGCGTAATGGCTATGTCGCTGGACTCCCACATAGTCGACCGCGGTTCGAGTCCCGGACCCGGTGGCTTAAACTCACGCCGGGTGCGTGTGCGTACGTGCCCAAGATCCCGAGAGGAGAATGGAGGAGAAGGGATTGCGGCGTGGCCATCCCCCCTGGGGGGTGATTTCCTGCTTTCTATCTCTCTGTCTCTCTCTCCGACCACCATAACAAAAACCCCCCCAAAAAAAAAAAAAAAAAAAGGATCAAAGGACAGGGACCAGCAGATGGCATAATGGTTACATTGCTGGACTCCCAAGTAGTTGGCCATGGTTTGAGTCTCAGGCCTGGCGCCTGTGTGTATGTGCCCAAAATCCCGAGGGGAAAATGGAGAAGGGATTACAACATGGCTATCCCCCTTGGGGAGGAGGGGGAGTGGTTTCTCACTTTCTGTCTGTTTCTCTCTTTCTCTGGCGAGCACACACACACACCCTATAGCAAAAATCTATTTTTAAAAAAGGAAACAAAGGACAATGGAACACTCTAGGTTGTCACCCAAAATTCTTCAAATAATTTAGCCAAGATTTTTTTATATATATAAAGGTAGTAGCCCTCTTTAGATAATCAGTGTATGAGGACTCACGTACTCTTCTTGTAAAGAAACGACTAGTAAAAGGGTTCTATAGAAGATATCAGTCCAAATGCAGAACTCAAGAATGATTAAGATGCAATACAGAAGAAATGGTGGTGAGCAGAGAAGCAGCAAAACTTAGAGTGAATATCAAAATCTTTGTGGAGATGTAGTTCTGAAGAAACATAAAATGTTAATTATTAAAAGAGATTATAAGAAAATGAAAGATCTGGAATTAAAAGTCCAGGTGGATAAAATACATTAGAAAGTACATATCTTGCAAACTTTAAAAAAGCAAAAGATAAAGTTTTACTTGAAAAAAATTGGCGAAGAGTGGGTCAGCAGGTAACATAGGACTCCCACGTGGAGGCATTGGACTGCTACATGGCCGACTTTGGTTCGAGTCCCAGACTCAGCGGCTTGAAACTCATGCTGGGCACATGTGCATGGGTGCCTAAAATGCCGGGAGGAGAGTAGAGGAGAATGGATTGCAGCGTGGCCATCCTCTTTGGGAGGTGATTTCTCACTTTCTGTCTCTCCGGTGAACACATACGCCCTATAGCAAAAATCTCTCAGAAAAAAATTTTGTTGGAATGATACACACACACAAAATATGAATTGTTTTGGGGTGATGAGACAGTGGTTTTGTTTTGTTTTGTTTTTACTTTTTGCTTTTCTCCATGTGTACATTTTTTTTCTGCTTATAAGCACACATGGACCTTGGAATAATAAGCCAAGCTGAAAGTACTTTAAAAACCACTTTTAAGAAGATGTTAATGGGAGTTGTTCCAGATTATTGGTTTCTTTATTAGTGATTTGAGGTTATAGATGGGAGGTCCTAGGGTGATGCTGATAGCTGGCCTTGTGATTTAGATTATGGCTGCAGAATACAGGAAGAGTAAGTGGATGCTGACAGATTATAAAAGGAAGGCGAATGGGAGAAGACTGGATGATTCCTTTGTTCTGAGTTTGAGCCCAATGAGCTGCAGTAATGAGGTTCTGTGATCAGGTGGTGGCAGTGGCCAACTGTAGGAAATGTGGAGGATTAGGAGAATGGGGGTGCCACTTACAGTATTTCTGTTGTTGATGTTTATTTCACTTGAGGCCCTTTTTCAGTAAAGCCGACACCTGGCCTTGGTCCCGTGGAACTGGCAGCTGTCATTGCTGGACCAGTCTGCTTCGTCTGCATCTCACTCATGTTGATGGTCTATATCTGCCATAACCGCACTGTCATTCACCATCGAGTGCCAAATGAAGAGGATCCTTCATTAGATCGCCCTTTTATCTCAGAGGGTACTACGTTAAAAGATTTGATTTATGATATGACAACATCGGGTTCTGGATCAGGTAATGTAATTGTTTATCTTTTTTCCTAATAAGTTTACTTAAAATTAGCTGTGGTGGGGCCAGCAGGGTGGCATGGTGGTTGAGGAGTTGGACTCCCACGTGGCCAACTGCGGTTCAAGTCCTGGACCCAGCAACCTGAAAATCACAACAAATAGATAATAAATAAATGCTTTTTAAAAATTAACTGTGATGAGCAGCATTGGCATAATGGCTATGTCACTGGAGTCCCATGTAGCCGACCATAGTTTGAGTCCTGGGTCCAGTGGCTCAAACTCTGTCTGGCAAGTTTGCATCTGTGTCGAGGATTTCATGACGAGAATGGAGGAGAAGGGATTGCAGCTTAGCCATCTTCCCTGGAGGGTGAATTCTTGCTTTCTATTTCTCTGTTTCTCTCTGTATTTCTGGCAAATGCACTCGTCCTATAGAAAAAAATCGCTCAAAATAAATAAATAAATAAATAAATAAATAAATAAATAAATAAATATGGTGTTTATCTTATTAGTTCTCAAAACTTGGAAAAACATGAACAGCATTTAAGGTTTGAGCCTTCTAATGATCTTTAAGCTTGGTCTATATCTGACTGTGGCAGGTTTGATACCAACAAATTGAAACTGTTACTATTGAAACAAAACAGCAAGTCAGCTCTACAGATGTATAAATTTCAAAGCATTCTCACTTATGTAATGTCACTTGCTTCTCATCACCATGAGGTAGAAAAGAAGATCAGGACCATTATTCTCATATAGATGAGGCTAAAGTTCAAAGATGTTTCATTGATTTGCAACTACTTATTCAATTCAGGATTGTTTAGCAGCTTTATTTCTGTATTTGAAAGCAGGCATGACAAATGTATTTAGAATTGTGAAAGTTATTTGCTTTTTATACATGATGTGAAATTTCTGTCTTTAGCTCAGGCCTAGTCCCCCCCACCCCAACTAATGAATTCTTAGTCATTTTCTCACTTCAGAAAATAGTCTAACCACCTTGTTATTTAATATAGCTTTGTGGATCCGTGGCTTGTGTTTCTCAGTTCTGTTTGCTTTTCTTAGTTCTATTGAATTTTGTGGGATCAGAAGGAGACTAATTTCAAGAATTGGGTGGGAGATGGCAGAGGGTGAGATAGGGAATCAAGGATGGGAAAAAAGGCAAAATATACAGAAAACAAGAAATGGAAAATTATGTGTTGACAATAACACATATGTTGATGTGCTTGATTGAGCTAATATACAGTGTACTGTGAATAGAAAAATCTCATTTTGTATGCTATAATGATGTACAGTGAATGAATGTAAATAAAGAAAAATAAATAAATAAATGTTTAAAAAAAAGAAAGCAAGTAAAAAAAAAAGAATCTTCCCAGGGTGGATTTTGGCATACATAATGATGTTTCATGCTTAAATGGAAGGGGGAACTTTTGCTACTTTTTGGATGTGGTTTGGAAGGATACTTAGAGAGGAACACCCTTACCCTGCTGTGGTTTTAGAATTTGATAGTTGAGTAGGAATCAATAAATCTATTGATAGATTCCAGTGTAGACTTTGTCAGTGATTGGCTCTGTGATGTTGGTTTAACCATATCATCCTTTGGATTTCGCTTTTCTAGTCAAAAATATGATATCAACAGGTAACTGTTGATAACAACATTTGAAGTGGTTTGTTAGGGCTTTTAGAGGAAATAGACTATTCTTTGAAAAGTATAGATTAGTTTCAAGCATGGGTTAAATTCATGCATAATGGTTATGTCAGATGGTATAATGGTTACGTCACTGAACTCCCATGTAGTCAACACGGTTTGAGTCCCAGAGCCAGCAGCTTAAGTTTCACACTGAGCATGTGTGCGTGCATACCCAAAATCCCAAAAGGAGAATGGAGAAGGAATTTCAGTGTAGCCGTTTCTCCGAGGGGTGTTTGCTTGCTTTGTTTTTCTGCCTTTTTGTCTTCTTGCTATCTCTCTGGAAAGCACATATACCCTAGAGCAAAAATCTCTCTTTAAAAAAAAAAAGAGAGAAAACATATATAATGCAAATATCACAATTAAGTGATGTTAAGGGAACATTAGTACAGAAGTTATGATTAGGAAAGCTCCAAGCTATACCTAATGATGGAAAATATATATAGCAACAAATGTCTATTTACTTTAAGGAAATAAGTTGATATTGGTTTATATAAGTTTATATTGGTATGTATTGGTATATATTTACTTCAGTATGAGGAAACTGATTTCATGACCTAAAGTCTTCTATAGAATTTGGCCATGTGTGGTCAGTAAATGGGAGTTTTGTCCTTGACTACTCGGACACATGTAGACTTGCATTGGAGCCCAGGCCTCCAGAGGTGATCTTACAGACTCCTGAGACTGTTGTGGGAGGGAGTTAAAGAGAGCTTGAACTGAGGTGGCACAGCCTTAGTGCTGAAGGTGTGATGGTCCTTGGGCAGAAGTAGTGGAAGGGGTTATTTTAGGACTTGCCTGGGATTTTTCCATTGATTCAGAGTTAGTGCACATAGTTCCAAAAAGTAGATTTTGCTCATTCTAGAAGCTGTTCTGGTCTAAAACTATGATAGACAAAGACCAAAGTCACAGAAAACCAGAGTGACTATAGGTAATTTGGAATGAATCATTCAGACTTGTTCTCTCGTTGCCAGATTTAAAACCAGGGAAATCAGAGTAGTTCGTATCACTTGTTATTGTACCAGGCCTCAGAGAAACAAGCTCACCTAAACAATTTAAAGGAATGGCTGTGTGGATGGCTATTGATTTCTGAAAAAGAATATATTTGCTTACCAGAAAGAGATGGGAGACAGAGTGAGGGAAGGTGAGAAATCAACCTCCAAGGGGGATAGCCACATTGCAGTAGCTTCTCCATTCTCCTCTTGGGATTTTGAGCATGCATGCATGTACATCCAGTGTGATTCTCAAGCCACCAGGTCTGGAACTCGAACTGTGGTGAACTATGTTGGGAGTCCAATGCCTTAACCTCTATGCTATCTGCTAGCCCCTCCAGGACTGTCCGTTAGCTTGGGAACTTAACGGAAGACAATGAAGACCTGTGTTCTGGCAGTTACAACATGGGAGGTACCCTAACCCCTGTACTGTCACAGTAATTTAAACCACAGGTTGTACATGTGCCAGTATTTGAGCTGTAGTTACATCATGTGTGAACATGCACATGTGCACACGTGCCAGTTTTTGAAAGAGTGGCTCTCAGGCCAATATCATTGTATCTTATGCATGCTTATGATCAGTTGTAATATTTGCATAATGTTCAGGGTTATTTCTTTTGTTCACTGCCTGTAAAGCTTCTGGGACCTTGGTTCCCTACTGAATTTTTTTTTTAAGGTTTTTGCCATAGGGTGTGTGCACTTGCCAGAGAGAGACATGAAAGGTAGAGAGAGGGAAAGTGAGAAATCACCCCCCGGGGGAATAGCCACACCACAATCCCTTTTCCTCTATTTTCCTCCTGGGATTTTGGGCATGCTTGCACACACGCCTGGTGTGATTAAGCCATCAGGTCTGGGAGTTGAACTACAGCTGGCCATGAGGAAGTACAGCACACTTCCTGTGGGACCTCTACTGAATTTTTTTTAATTACAGAATTGAATAAAGCAGAGAACATAGAGATCTGAAATAGGTCTGCTTATTTTTGTCTTCAGAAGAAAATTGTTACTTTTTAAAAATGCTCAGGTTCTTATGTGGGTTATGATAGCCCATTATAGATAATATGATCAATCTGGCAGGGAGAAGAAGTTGCTGTTAACATAGTCTCCTCTAGAGAAGAACGTTCATGGTTCCGTGGGCAGAGATTTACCAAACTAAGGTTATGTCATGAAAACATCCTGAACCTATCAGTTATTGTCAGACTTCCCATTTATGATTTCCTTTTCCTTCTTTTTTAACTTTCAGATTAGTGTCCTAAAGTTAACTATTAAATATACTTTGTAGGTACATGGTATGACCCTATACGAGGCCTTAAGAAAACTTTATTAATTAGTATTTACATTGAACAATGTAGTTGAAAATTGATTAGTATAGTACAAAAGAGTGCCTTGAGTTAAATAAGAATTTCTCACACATCTATTTTAATTAGCAGTTTCCTTAAAACCATAGAAATAGTTTATAATCAGACTGCTAACTGCTTTGCAGGCGGTAGAGTGAGGGGAAGCAAGAACCCCAGAGAGACACACAGAAAGAAAATAGGAAAGCACTCCCCAGGGGGAGGGCCACACCACAGTTTCCTCTCCTTCATTCTCTTCTTGGGCTTTTGCTAATTTTAGGTGTGATTTTGGTGTGATTTTCAAGTTGCAGGGTCCAGGACTCAAATCACAAAGTGAGATCCAGTCACCTTAACTTCCATACCACCTGCTGGCCCCAAGAAATTTTTCAAAAATCTTTTACCCACAGCTCTTCTTGGTCATCTCGAGTATCCGTACTCTTGACCTTCTGGTAGAAGCTTACTTTCTCTTTCACTGCTCTATACATTCTCTTACCCAAGTTGTTTCCCTAAACCTATCATTCATTTCCTTCCATCTTTCCATGTGTATTTCTCCTCTCTAACCCACCTTACTTCCTTATCTTCTCCTTTGGTTCTATCTCTTTTACAAAAGACAGTGAAATTCAGTTCACAAAGCCTACCTTGACCCTTTAGCTAATATTTTCTGGATACTTTTATTGTATTTATTATCTTACTGTTCTTTTTTCTATTGACTTTTTTTTTTTTTTTTTTTTTTTTTGGCCAATGTAGTCTGTATCTTCCCAGTGAGATCATAAATTCCTTAAAAGTAGAGCTTAAGGAAATACCTTCCTGGGTCACTCTTTAGTACCTGTCATGCTGTTTGAAATGTGTGGTGTTGATTTATTAAATAGTATTTATTTTTATCTTTAGGTTTACCACTGCTTGTTCAGAGAACAATTGCAAGAACTATTGTGTTACAAGAAAGCATTGGCAAAGGAAGATTTGGAGAAGTCTGGAGGGGAAAGTGGCGGGGAGAAGAAGTTGCTGTTAAGATATTCTCCTCTAGAGAAGAACGTTCATGGTTCCGTGAGGCAGAGATTTATCAAACTGTAATGTTACGTCATGAAAACATCCTGGGATTTATAGCAGCAGACAATAAAGGTTTGTAACATTTGCTTTTCCTTGTGTTGAGTATAACAAAATCTATCTAAGCCTTTCTATGGATATGACTACTAAAGGTCAAATTTAATGAGAAGTAGATATTCATTATATAGATTAGACTCATTAAATAAAATAAAATATATAAGAAACCTTTGGAAACAGAAACTTCTTAAAGATTTTCTTGGCTCTTGACAACATGTTTCTGATTGTTTTATAAAATGTAAAAGAGCTATTTTAAAGAACCACATACTTTTGTTATTTTCATTCTGAATGTAGTCATAGTGTGGAAAGCAATGTGTAAGGCCAGTCCTGTGAGACCAGCAGATGGCGTAATGGCTATGTCGTTGAACTCCCATGTAGTCGACTGTGGTTTGAGTCTGGGACCTGATGGCTTAAACTCACTCCAGGAGCATGTACGTGCATGCCCAAGATCCCAAGAGGTAAATAGAGGAGAAGGGATTTGCAGCGTAGCCATCCCCCCTGGTGGATGATTTATCACTTTCTGTCTCTCTGTTTTTCTGGTGAGTGCACACGCCCTATAGGAAAAAAAAAGCTCTCGAAAATAAATAAATAAATAAAAAGACTAGTCCTGTAGCACAGGGTTAAGTGCTGTGTGAAGGGAGCCGGATCCCATAGCCAGCTGTGGTTGGAATCCCAGCACTGGTAGCCCCCAAAACATGTCAGATGTGTGTACATGTGTGCCCATAATCCTGAAGGAGGAATGGAGAAGGATCACAATGTGACCAGGCCCCTTCAAGGCGTGCTTTACTTTTTCCATCTCTTCTCTCTGGCATACACATTTGCCCTCTGGCAAGAAAAAAATGCATACACTGGTTGCCCAAAATTTTGATGTTGGGTGGGACTCAGATTTTTTTCTTTTTCATCTCTGCCTGACCAGAATGATATTTTAGTATAGACCTTATTTATGGGGAGAGTGAAAATAACTTTTCAATGTATTCTGTGTTCTGAGTTGCCAGGGGCTAAGTAGGTTAATCTTTTAAGTAAACTCAATTAAGTGGGGAAATACTTTCTTTAGAACACCCCCTTCCTTGTCAGGGGTAACCATGTGGACACTGTTTTGCTCTGTAGTGCAGGCACCTGAGGCCCAGGGATCAGATTAAATGCCGAACAAGCCAGGAATTTGTCAGCAAAGAGGCACAATGAGCAGCGACCTTATACACTGTCTTTGTCAACTTTCTTGGCCTTAGTTAACAGATATATGCTCAAAATTCCTACATTCACAGCTTTGTTAGAGACTTTTGTTACAACTCAATGCTTATCCTCTCTTGAATCAAATGAATTTCCTAACTTTCCTATTTTATTTATTTATTTACATTTTTTTTGTTTTTAATTAATTAATTTACATTCATTCACTGAGCATTGTCACAGCATACAAAATGTGATTTCCCATCCAGAATATATACTGCATGGTGGCTTAATTTTCCAGTTATTTTCTATTCCTTTTTCCTCCTACATCTTGTTGATTCACAAAATTTCTTAAATAGTCTAACTATTTTCAATAGCAAGCTCAGGTGATAGATACATATCTATGAATACATTTCTGACTTTAGGCATGAAATTCTGGGTAGAATGAATATACTATACGGTAGTACCTAGCTGATGCTGTTTAGCTTACTTCAGTCATTAATTATGTATTTTTTTGCTATATTTCATGAAAAGCAGTTTTAGCTTTAATAAATCAAAGACATGCTAAGGAACTATGCTTGAAACTTAAAGCCAGGAAATAAGTTGGGATTCTGTTCAAGTAGTAGGTACACGAACCTATCAGCAGCTCAAGACAGGAGAAAAATCCTTAAAACTAGAAAACAAAGCCTAGAAGAAAATCAGTAATGTTTTAGTCAAAAGTCATAAAATTCTATTTCACCAGTTCAGTCTCATGTACTTAATCTATCTTCTATTGTGGTCCAGTCTTCCCAATAATATTCTGGGATATAATATTCAACTCCATACTTGTCCCCATGATTAAGCTGGCCATTTTCTTAGTTTTCGAACTCTTATTTCTTTGTGACTGTATTTAATTTTCCTGGTATAGCACTCCCTGCAGAACTTCTTGGAGATCTGGTCTGGTGCTGGTAAATTCTTTCAGATTTTGTTATCTGAGAATGTTCTTGTCTTTTCTTCCCATATGAAGGATAATCTGGCTAGGTACAATATTCTTGGTTGAAATGGCTTTTCCCTTAACACTTTGAATATATTTTCCCATTCTTCCTCACTTGCGTTGTTTCTGATGAGAGATTCACTGTCAGCCTAATGGGATATCCTTTGTAGGTAACTTGATGTTTCTCTTTTGCCAGTCTTAGTTTCTTATCTTTGTCTATGGTTTTGGTCAATCTGGCTATAATGTGTCTTGGAGGAGATCTTGAGTTGATTTTATTGGAGGGTCCTTTGTGTTTTTTGGGACTGGATCTTTGAATGCCTGTGTAGGTTTGGAAAGTTTTCTTCCAGGATTTCATGGAATAGATTGTTAATGACCTTATGAGTCTCTCCCCCCTCTGGGATACCAGTTATCCAGATGTTTGGACGCTTGATAGTATCTAGTGTTCCTCATATATTATTCTCATTTTGGGAGACAATTTTCTCAGTCTTCATGGTAGATTTTTCTAGGCCAGCAATTCTGTCTTCTGCATCTGAGATTTGATTTTCAGTATGATCTAGTCTGCTTTTAATACTTTCAATGGAGGTTTTGACTTCCTGTATTAAAGTCTTCATCTCTGACAAGTCCATTTGATTCTTTTTTTATAGTGTGAATTTCCTCTTTTAGATCTTGTAAGAATTTCCTCACCTCTTGGAGCTCGTCAGCTTCTTTCCCCTGCCTCTTCTGCAGTTCATTGTCTCTCTTCTTTTCCATTTCTGTGAATTTTGTCACCATGAAAATTCTAAGTTCTTTATCTGACATTTCCATGAATTTCATCGTACTGAGGATGAAGAGGAGTTATTATTTTTCATCGAAAGAGAGGTATTTTCTTGTTTTTCCATATTTCTTGTGACCCTGCAGTGATTTCTAGTCATCTGATGGATGGTGCGTTTCTCTCTAATTCTTGAAGTTCAATCTGAGTGTTCAGAGGCGTGCAGGAGGAGGTGATCTGTAATCTCTCTTCCTTTCTGTTTTCATTCTTTGTGCATCAGAATCAGTGGGAATAGAGGAATATTCTGACCCTAATCATATTCAGATGTTTAGATCCTGTTCACCTGGGCCTGTCTAGATATTTAGTGTGTAGGAGCTGAGAAGCCAATGAGTAAAGATAAAGAAAAAGGAAAAGAATTAGAGAAGAGGAAAGAAGAGGAAAACCTAAAATAAAAAGAAGAAAAAAGATAATTTAAAAACTTTAGATCTTAATTTTAAAAAGTAAAAACTGAAAACTGCATAATGCGCTTTTATTTCATAGCTAAAGTTCGGAATCCATGTGAAGATGGGCCTGGATTTGTGCCTTTCCTAAATAGAATTGGGAAAGGTGCAATTAGCTCAATAAAGAAGGGACTTGAGAGCCCTGAGAATACTTTCTTAAAAAAAAAAATGAAAATTAAAAAAATGAAAAACAGTGAGACAGAGAGAGACAGAGGGAAATGGAGAAAAGGAGACAAGAAACACAACCCACTAGAAATGAGTGTGGAGGGGGAAGTCTCAGTAGAAAATCTTCATTTTAAGTCCATGAAAACAGGGAATCAGCAGTTAGCGTAATGGCTATGTCGCTGGACTCCCACGTAGTCGACCGCGGTTCGCATCCCGGACCCGGTAGCTTAAAACCCACGCTGGGCGCGTGTGCGTGTGTGCCCAAGATCCCAAGAGGAGAATGGAGGAGAAGGGATTGCAGCGTGACCATCCCCTCTGGAGGGTGATTTCTCGCTTTCTGTCTCTATGTCTCTCTCTGTCTGTCTGGCAAGCGCACACGCCCTATAGTGAAAAACCTCTCAAAAAAAAAAATATTAGTAAGTCCATGAAAACAATATTTCACAGTTGAAGTTCAGGATCTATATCCTTTCCTATTTTTTAAGAAAATGCTCTTTTACTCATGCCGGGCGCGTGTGCGTGCGTGCCCAGGATCCCGAGAGGAGAATGGAGGAGAAGGGATTGCAGCGTGACCATCCCCTCTGGAGGGTGATTTCTCGCTTTCTGTCTCTATGTCTCTCTCTGTCTGTCTGGCGAGCGCACGCGCCCTATAGCAAGAAAATTTACTTTGAAAATTATTCTTCAAAAAATAATTAAGCTATGAAGGGCAATGATTTTTATCTCTCTCTCTTTTTTTTTTTTTTTTTTAGTTTGGGAAGACTTGAGTCATTTTTTTCTTCTCTTTCTTTCCATTTTCTTCTGCTAATATTTCTTCCAAATGTTGGGACCAGCAGATGATGTAATGGTTATGTCGCTGGACTCCCACATAGTCGACTACGGATCGAGTCCAAAATCCGGTGGCTTAAAACTTACACTGGCCATGCATGTGCGTGCATGCTCAGGATCCCGAGAAGAGAATGGAAGAGAAGGGACTGCAACGGGGTCATCCCTGCTGGGGGATGGGGGAGGCGATTTCTCGCTTTTTTTCTCTCTTTCTCTGTCTCTCCAGAAAGCCCACATGCCCATAGCAAAAAAATCTCTCTCTTTAAAAGAAATCTTCAAAATGTAAATATATTTCATCTTACTTGATGATTGTGGCTGGTTTTTGTGATTTTTTTCTTTTTGCTTCTATTTTAAAATTTATTTACAGCAGTATGCACTGCTTGTTAGTTTTTAAACTTTTATTTGTAGGAAATTTCCAATATTAAAAAAATAGAGAACAGTATAGTGATTCCCCACCATGCAGCTTGAACAGCCGTCGGTGTCCTGCCAATCATAATTGAACTCTGATCCCACCTACTGTGCTCCTGACCAGATTCTCTGAAGCCAGTTCTAGATAATGTACCTTTTCACCTATAGACATTTTCAACTTGGGTCTTAAATGATGAAGAAGTCTTTTTTAATGAAATAGCCACACTACTCTTACCAGTTTATAAAATGTCATCAAGTACCCAGTTACGTTCAAATTTCTGCAACTGTCTATTTAAAAAAAAAAAAAATTAGGATCCTAAATTCCACATTGCGTTTAGTTGATATTTTTCTTTATTTTCCTTCAATCTTTTTTTTTTTTTTTGAGAGGTTTTTGCTATAGGGCGCATGCACTCGCTGGAAAGAGACAGAGAGACAGAAAGCGAGAAATCACCTCCCAGGGGGGATGGCCACGCCGCAGTCCCTTCTCCTCTATTTTCCTCTTGGGATCTTGGGCACGCATGCACATGCACAGTGAGTTTCCCCTGGGACCAGATGTCGAGCCATGGTGACTACATGGGAGTCCAGCGACATAGCCATTACTCTAACTGCTGGTCCCATTCCCTTCAAATCTTTAAGTTCCCCCTCTACCTTTTTTCTTTCTTTTTGCAGTTTATTTGTTTAAGAAACTAAATTATTTGCCCTATAGGGCTTATAACATTGTGGATTTTGCTAATTAAATTCTCATAGTATCTTCCTTTTGAACTCTATGTTTTCTGAAAATTTGATAATTAGATTTAAAGGCTGAATCTCATTGGGGTTCTCTTGGTTTCCCCCAAATATAGAGGTGTTCGTTTATATTGTTTTATCACGTCGGGAGGTATCCAGTGATTGTGAACAGGGATGGTGATGGTGTGGTGCATGCAGGCAGCAGTGATCATGGCTTCTAACAGTTCCATATTGTATAACTTACAAAACAGCCAAATAAATAGAAAGAGTAATCATGACCGAATCCTTAGTTCTTACCTTCTTCTGTGTTTGACACCCTTTAGCTCCTTTCTCTACTCTAAAAACCTTTTCTTTATTACATTCTGTGACCCTATACTTCCTTTTTTTATTCTTGTTTTTTAGTAGTTGTCTTTATTTTCTCCAATTCTTACTCTTTTTACTGATTCTTATGAAGGCTCCAATTCTACAGGTAGTGCTTGTTCTCTTAATGAACCTGTCCACATTTATAGTTTCATAGTCAGCCACGGTGGCGACTCTCAGATCTGCATCTGAAAGCTTCGGCCTGCTCGGTGCGTGTGTTAGGCGTGTTCCAAGTAGCAGGCACAGGGTCACAGAATGCTGGTGCTGCTGTGCCCTGAGCTTCCTAGTCCGGTTTGTTCTAGCAGCAGCCAGGCTGGTGCTGTCATCTGGTGGTCACCATGGGAACTGGCTGACCCTGCTGGCTCTTCCCTACCTCCTCCTCTCTTTGTCCAGTTTGCTCAGAATGTAGCCTTCTGCCTTGAGTTCTTTTTCCTTTATCTTCACCCTGCTGGCGTAGTTAGTTCCACTCAGACAGTTCTTTGTATGCACGGCCTCTTTCATGACCTTCCTCTTGCCTTTCTGGTTAATTATTTCAGAAAATCTCCCTTTTCTTCCTTCTGCCTGTATTCTTTTTTGTTTCTTAGATTTGTAAGCTTTTCAGAATTCAGGCATGGTTAATAGGCATGCAGATAAGTTAGTGATATACCTATATTAAGGATAAAAAAAGGTATGCTTGACAGAATCAGTTTATAAAGTTTATGAAAAGTAAGGTAACATAGGAGTAGTATCATGAATCTCTTAAGTCCTTTTGAAAGTTCCCAGAAAACCCCTCCAGTCTCTGAAGAGTTCCCATCTCCTTCCTTAGTCTTCTAATCAGAGTTACCTTTTTTAAGTAAAAACCTTCCAAATAGAAGCTGTTTTATATTGATTTGGGGGTTTTGTTTGTTTTATGAGTAGTA